GCACATGGCAGACAGGCAGAAGCTGCTGTGGGCAGAGAGCTGGCGCCTTTCAGGGACTGTTGAGACCCCTGGTCCTTATTCTAACTTGTTCTCCCTGCTGATATTGTAGGAACCTAAATAAGCTGCTTTTCCTCCTCTCTCTCACCCAGTGCCTTTCTGAATTTACTGACCAGTCGGACCCATTCACTGCCAGCCAACCTCATATGTTCGTCTCCAGCGAAAGTGCGTGTACGAGTAAGAATCAAAATGCAAAACAGGTGAGCCAGGACAACATGGGTGTGAACTGTGTGGGTCCACTTGTACGTGGGGTTTTACCAATGAATATACTGGAAAATGTTATTGGTAAGGCTTCCAGCCAACAGTAGGAATCCATAGTTAAGTATTTTGGTATTTTTAGTTAAGTCAAAAGTTATACACTGGTTTTCAACTGCCCTGGGTGTCAGGGCCCCAACCCCTGCTAACATTGTTCAGGGTCAACTGTACTTACTTTACAAGTATCTTCATTTGTCTAATGTCTGCCAGGGGAAGTTATTTATTAGACACCATCCTAGTGGCCTGATAGAGTTAAAGCAGCTCAAATTTAGTACAACTTACTTTCCCCTTGGTGTTTATCTACCATTTGTCTGCATATGACGTGTACGGGATATTGAGTCACAGAAACATCATGCACCTTTAATTTCTAAAGCTATATGGAAATGGAAAGGAACCAAAACAGCCAAACAATTGTGAAACAGAAAAAAGAAGTCAGAGGAATCAGATCACTTGATTTTCAGGCCGCTCTGTAGCTGCGGTGACTAAGGCCATGCGGCATGGTTGGGGGGACAGATGCGGCACGGAGGAGGGGACAGACCCAAAGATCAGCGGGACACTGTGCGCCCAGAAATAGACCCACAAAAGTGTGATCAGGGGATTTTTGACAAAGGTGCAAAGATAATTCAGTGGAGAAGGGATAAGCTTTTCAGCAAAGGGGTTGGAACAATTTCACATCCACATCCGAAAAGATGAAACTCAACCCAGTCACACCTTATACAAAAATTAACCCAAAATGGATCATAGATCTCTACCTACAATATAAAACTAAAATTTTAGAAGGAAACATAGAAGAAAATCTTCATGACCTGGGAGCAAACGATAAATTCTGACACGGAAAGCATGAACCATAAAAGAAAAAATTGATAAATTGGACTTGACTAAAATTTTAAACTTTTGTTTTACAAAAGATGCAGTCTAGAGAATAAAAAGACAAGCTACAGATTGAAAGGCAGTATTTGCAAATCGCATACATGACAAAGCACTTGAAGCCAAATGATTTCAAAACTCACTCTCAAAACTCAATGATTAAATGACAACCCAGTAAATATGGACAAAACATGGAGTGAACACGTCATCCAAGAAGACAGATAGAAGGCAAATGAGTTCATGGAAAGACATCGTCAGCCTTTAGAAAGATGCAAACCAAAATCAGGAGATACCACTACACCCCCATAAGAATGGCTAAAATAAAAAATACTGACAGCATGAAGTGTTGACAGGGATGGGGAGCAACTGGAGCTTGTGTGCATTGCTGGCGGGGATGGAGAATGGGACGGCCACTCTGTAGAACACCGTGGCGGTCTCTTAAAAGTTAACCATAGGCTTCCCATGTGACCCAGCAATCCCACCTCCTGCTTTGAATGACAGAAGAGAACTTACATACTTTTTGGAACTGATTTTTCTAATGCATAGATTAGTCACCAAATTTTTGAGGGAAAAATAATTTAAATCTTAAATGAAAACTGCCATACATGAAAAATAGCTGTACACGTATGTTTATAGCAGCTCACTTCATAATCGTTGATCCGCAAACGACCAAGTATCCATCAGTGAGAGAAGGATGGACTGTGTGCGGACACCATAGGGGCCTAGTCGGCAGAGGGGACAGAAGTTCTGCACATGCAACGGTTCACAGGTGTCCCCAGCGTGGTGCGCCAAGTGCATTATTCTGAAAAGATTTTGTTCTGTGTAATGTGATCTCATTTAGGTGACGTTCATCAGAAGGTAAACCCCAGGGAGGGTGGCCAGACAGCAGTTGTCAGGGGAAGGGTGGGGTGTGGCTGATCGAATGCAGGACAGTGGGTTTGGGGTGAAGTATCTCTACTGCGGTGGCCACACAGAAGTGTACATGTGCTAAAATTCACACACCGGTACACCCAGACCAGTCAATTGTACTGCATGTCAACATACACACGAAAATCAGGCCTTGTGATATGGCCAGTCAGCGGGCACCCCACCTCTTACTCAGGTAAGCCCCATCTTCCTAATGAGCGGGTGCCCCCTCTGCCAGCAGGTCTCCGCCTTCCAAATCTGTTTTCTGACCCACGCGGCACCTTTAGGCCGTTACCCCTCACTTGACGGGCAGCTTGCCTCTCAGCTAAATTTTAATCTTCTGAGGAGAAGATTTTGAAGGACAAGAGTCTGTGTGACTCCCGGAGCTCCTGACGGTTCGCCTCACGTAGCGGAGCAGCCCCTGTGAAATGGGCAAAGGAATGAGAAAGAGGCCGCTCACGGCCGTGGCCTCGGGGAAGAGCACGCCGCTGCGAGCTGGTCGGCCCTGGTCCTGACCCCAAACCCGCAGGCCTGGGCCAGTGCCCGTGCTTGGCGCCGCTTCCTCCGGCGCAAAACGGTCAGGCTGCAACCGGGACTTGGGGAGTTTCCAGCTCTGGGCATCGCTGAGACGCCACCGAACAGCAGCCGAGGCAGACAGCGCGTCTCAGTGGCCCATGGCTGGGCGCTTCCTGAGGCGGCACCTGCTCCTCCATGAGCCACCCAGGAGCTCCTGCGAGCACAGGAAGGAGGCGGAACGGCACCTCGGCTGTCATACGATGGTGCCCGCATGCCATGGGGGCAGCGCCCTATCTGAGTCACCCTTGGACGATTGCTTTTGTGGTAAGACGCACATGACGTGAACTGTGCCGCTTTAAGCATTTGAAAGCGTGCAGTTCAGCTCCATGGGTACATTCATGCTGTCGGGCAGCCTTCCTCACCATCACCTGCAGAACTTTCTGCCCCCAAACCACCCCATGAAACAGCTCCCCACAGGGTGCCCCAGTCCCAGAAGCACCACCGTCCCTCCTGCCTCTGGCCGTCCAGCCTAGGACCGCCTATCATGGAATCACAGGCCTCGGCCTGCAGCATCCGGCTTCTCTCACTCGGCATGTAGTTCTCTGGGCCCCCCATGCAGTGGCCAGTGGCAGATGTATTTCCTTTCTAAGGCTGGATAATATTCCACCACGTGGACATGGCACACCTTGTTTATCGGTTTGTCCGTTGCTGGGCATTTGGGGTGTTTCTACCGTCTGGTGGCTGTGCTGCGTCGCCTGGTTTGGTCTGGCCACGACATTTCCCTGGCCCCTGACAACTGGCAGAAGGGAGGCCCCCAATCCCACCCCCCAGCCTGAGTGACTGAAGCAGGCTGGCTAGCAGTGAGTGCTTGATGGAATGGTGCACACCCGGTGCCCTACACTAGCTGCTCTGCCAGGCGTGCCCACACCTGTTGCTGTCAGATGGCGGGCCCGCATCTCCCCCTCTTGCAAGTGGTGGGCTCCACACCCGCAGCGCGTCCAGGGCTGCTGCGCATGTGGTCAGCGCGGGGCCACCTTCAGCCCAGCAGGAGCCCCTGGCAGGCCAGCAGGGTGCCTCACAGACAGAGAGAGGGCTTTGGGCTCGCCTGTGATTCTTTACATCTCATGTGGCACATTACTTGATATTTTCTCACACCTCGCTGTCCACGGGGTGAGGCTCCCAGGGCAGGAAGGTGGCCCTATTGGCCTCACTGCCCAGCTGGGGCTACGAATCCCTGGGGGGCCTGGGCCGCTCCCCCG